TCACCCTGCCTTAACCTAAATGAAAACCTTGCAGTTTTATGGTTGAGCAATGGCAGATCTGTAAGTTCCTCTCTAAAAAAAAAAAAAAGAACAACAACAACAAAAAAAATCCAAACCAAAAAAACCCCACTCCCAAACCCCCAAACCAACAGCTCAATTTTATTTTGGTTTTATATTAATTATATGTTGAATTAGTTTTCTTTTCACATGTATTTCAGCAAGGAAGTGTTATTTTATAAATATGACTTACCAGAAAATGATCATGTGTTGTCCAGTGCAACTGTTTGTCTTCTCAAAATAAACAACCAGATATTGTGCAATTACTAGAAGATACTGGTTTCTGTGTTGTATTTTTTTGCTTTTAGTGTGGAACTGATGCATTCACTAAAATGTATTTGGAAACTGTTCATAGCTTTAGTTACTCAGGGGCAAGGCAGTGTGGTCTAATGGGAAAGACAATGGTCTTGCACACACAATGTGCTGGTGGTTCTGGATGTATTCCTGCCCTTGCCTCAGTTTTCCACCAATGAAATGGTCATGGTAGTATAATAGACCCCTTTTTACAGTGCTTTGTGTTTAAGAAAAGAAGGAACTGGGTGTCAGTATTTCTACAAAATGATTTGTTGCTTTAGGAAAATTCCTCTTCTGAGGAGGTTGTTGGGGCTGTGGGTTGGTGACCAAAGGCAGGAGCAGAGCAGGACATGCTGCCCCAAGCAAGTGTCTGGAGCACTGACAGGCTCTGCTTGCCCATCCCAGGGGACCATCTCAGCAGAGGGATTCCAAACAGTGCAAAGATAGAGTTCAGAATAACTGGAGTGGTAAAGTTTATATGTAAAATACTGGGGGAAAATTTATTTTTATAGAAAAAACTTGAGAAATGAACACAACTTCTCTCTTTATGCATCTTAATAATAAAGCACCAAAAGATTATGTGGATACATATATAGTGCCTCACTGCACACTGAATTATATTCACTTGATGTTATATTTCTAAATGAGATAAATTCATTGTGGAAGTAGGTAAGATTTTAGAAAGCACTCTGAAGGATTGAAATGCATCACTAAGAACAGAATAGCAAATGCTGTCTTCATTAATATTAATTTTGAAATAAAATATCTCACCTAAAAGTTTCTTTCAAGTGTTTTAACATTGGACTTTTGGGTATGGAGAGAATAATATTTGGCTCCTATCATTTTGTTCTCACTTTTTCTTGTTTGTACTCATGTCTTTATTCAAGAGCGATATTGTACCTCTGTCTTTGCCTGGTAAAGAGAGGCATATCCATCTCTCCAGCTTCCTTTGGGTGAAAGGGGCAGTGAGGCTGGTTTTCTGTACTATAAACCTGCCCATGCCCAAAGGTGACAGATGATTTCTCTTTCCCATGCTCTCTCTGCAGTTTTGAAAAGCTGCTGAGTCGGTGTCATCCTTGCCAATCACAAAATCAACTGGTTAATGTTCAGGCTTCATGCCCTCACACTGTATAGCTCATAAATATTCCTGCCTATTCCCCAACACATGACACACTCCACGCGTCTGAGTTCACTGCTCTCCTGGCACCAGGGCACATTATTTTAAGGTGTTTTTTAAGGTGTTTTCAGCAGAGCTGTTTAGGATACGAAAACAACGAAGTCTCTGTCAAAAGGTCTTGTGAGGAGAATGTTGAGAGGCAGATTGAAATGATAGTCTGAATTATAATTTTCTAGAGGTATGATTATTTAGGGGATCATTTGGGGTTGCTAGGGGCTTTTCTGCTCACTGGTTCCATGGTAGCCTGTTGGATGGACTGCTAGGGACCAACACTACCTTGTCCACTTGGTGATCGCTGTTTATTTTGGTTTCTGTCTCTCTGTTACCCTGCAACGGTTCTGTCCAGGAGTGTTTTCTAGCAGAAGCTTGTTTCACCTGAAAATTTGTCACCAGTTCACCTTTTTAGAAGTGAATGACTACAAGAATGCACAAATGACGTAGTGAAATGGGCAAAGTGACTCCCACCCATAGAGGTTTCAAGATACGTGATGTTACCTTTTGTTCAGAGATGTCGTAGACATGATTTCAGCTTATAGAGAATACTTAGCGGACTGTTCTGAGAAAATTTGAGTTAAATTTACAGAATAGACCATCCAAGGACTGCTAGGGATTCATGCATAAATAGATGTGGTTTCAAACCACTGTCAATACTGACAGCTGTCCTCTCACTCCTCCTGCCCAGGATTAACAGTGCCTTCCTCTAGTCCAGTGTGGAAGTGGATTAGGCTAAACAGCCAAAAGGCACTCCTGGTGCAGAATAGGAGCATCCACACACTGAGTTAATGCCAAGTAGTTAATGCATTCTGTATTCACACCCTCTCTTATTTTGCAACAGCTTCCCTGTGTAGGCAAGCCCTGCATGTTCATGTCATTTGATGGTTAGAATTGCATCAGTGACATTCCAGATTCTGACCACAATGTTAGTAATGGAAAGTGGTTCATCTTCTAATGAAATGGTAGGCTTTTTTTTTTTTTTTTTTTTTCTAGTTGCATCTTTTGCAACTTTTTCTTTCATGTGCCCGGAGTGAATTTCTTCATTTTTTAAATGTGTGTGATATTCTTCTCATCTCTTATACATGAAATGATGCTCTCTAAGCATGGAAATTGCCTTTATACATCCTACTTCATGAAGCAGTGATTGCTCAGCCTTTTTTCTTCTGAAGAGTAGGAGAAAGCCCAAGTAATAAAAATGCTCTTTACATATATTTGCAATTTAGTAGCTTGTGTCTGATATATTTTTTCCTCATAAGATATTTCCAGTTTTCGTCTTGCTTTGCTTATGTCATCCCTAACGCTTTTGCTCCCTTGTCACATGCCTGGCACAGTTTCATGTAGGCCTAGAGTCTCCTGGTCATTTAAACAGTCTGTTTATCAGTTCAGTTTATTTACAGCAAGTCTTTGGTGCTTCACTTGCTTCTCAAGTTTACATGCCATCGTGGGTGTTGGTCATTAGGATGGAAGAACATGGCCACCTTAGATTTTCAGAAATAGTGGTTCCTCTGAGCTTACTGATGAACCACCATGACATATGTTTAGGTAATCCTCATCTCCCCCAGGAGCTTCTTCAGATCGAGTCCAGGCTGCAGCGATGAGGAAACTGCAGTTTGAAATGTTATCCATGGGCTTTGAAGTGTGGATTTCTCATGTGTCTTTGCAATAACAGAGGGAGCAAGAAAGCTGCCTCTCTGTTTGCCTACCAGACTGTTTTGAGTTGTGTGGTTTATAACCAAAGATACTCTTTCTGTTCACATTTCTAGATACAGCTCCCACTGCACAACAGTCTGAATTTCCCAAAGTCAAAGGCATAGTTGATGTCTTATGTCTCACTTTGAATAGTGTGTGAGTTGAAGGTTTTGCAGGGCTCCTCTGTAGTTTGTTTTGTTGGAGATTTTTTCCTAGGATTTTTAATCTCATTTTTTTTATTAATATATTAAACAGTAAATTGTATCTAGCTGCAAGTGTCTTTTCACCTTCTTCACTTACATTTCTGTAATAAGTGTCCCATAACATTTCCACCAAATCACAGTTTCTCTTCATTGTGAAGTCATTCTGGAAAACTATCATCAAGCAGCTCTACCCATTACTGAAAGAATAAAATGGGAACAGTATTGCCATTTAGAATAGTGTATTTTTAAAGACCGGTGGCTTAGTGGGACAAAGTAAAATATGCAAGTGCTGGGAATTCGATGACATTAAAGGAGTTTTTAGAGCATTGTTGCTTCGTGGTAAGGAGACTACCCTTTCCTTCCCCGCCATTATGTAAAGAACCTAGCAATTTGCTAATTTGTTCATCTAATTTCTTTTTCACGTTCCAGGAAAATAAGAATGGCTTATATTTACAGGAATGTGATATTATTTTGGATTGATCAAATGCACATCTATATTTTTTACACAAGTATCTGTAAAACAGGGCACATACAAAGCACTTGGCAGTAAATTACCAGCTAGTTGCTTGGCCTGGGCAGGAGCAAGTAAATTTGCAATTGCAATCTAGAGCAACATGTTAGAGGCCACCTTCCTTAGATCAACTTTGTATTGCAACACCAGCAACTAATCAAATTGTGATGTACTTCAATGCAAAGCCTAGTTTGGCTTGGTTGGCAAATTAAACTATCGCATGCCTCTGGCAAAAGCAGAAAGCCTTTGAACTGTTTGACTGCAGCTGTAGCTTGCACATCTTATTTTCCCTCTTAAAAATCAAATTAAACTGTAACCTGCAGCTTCTGCAGTAATTTTCAAGGGAAATTAAGTTGTTGCTAACCTTTCTAGCAAAGATAACCGTCTCTAATCAGGCTGAAAGGTCCAGGCCGAAATTCCCCTCTCCAAGTTTAGACAAATTTATTGGAGGAAAACTCCAGGGCTTATTAAAGGCAAAGATATTACTTCTGACTCAGGAAGTCCTTGGCCACAAATTGCTAGAGACTGGGAAGGTTTACCAGGAAGATATTTTGTGCTTCCCCTCTTCTTTCACTCCTCCTGCAGCATTTACTGCAGATCCATCGCATGAGAAGGACACTGGACGGTTGTTCTGGTCTGCTTCTCTGGATCTGAAGACTGACCCCAATTCACAGCAGTAATGGGCGTGCTGGCCTACTTTTAAGCATTGCCCAGGGTGGTCTTGGCAGTGTCAGATCCTTCCTTTGGACTTGTCCCTAGTCCTTTCTCACCCCACATGCCTTCTGACTCTTAGAGATCAACTCTTGGATGTGATGATGTCCTTTTACCTCCCCCACCTTCCATTATTTTGTGTGCCCTGCTGGCAGGAACACTTGGCGTTTGACTTGCCCTCATAACATTCATGTTTTTCTTGGAGCTCTCGGAGATAGGATTTTTCCCAGCCTGGATGAGTTGCTGTTATTTCTATGGAGTCAGCAGTACAATAGACCCTCTTGGGAGCCAAGGCCTTGTCTGTCTGGTGGCTCAGGCTTACAAAGATTCAGTCCCGCATGCTTAACGTTACCCTTTGATTTCCAGGATTAGTGTCTGAATGGTGGCAGGTGAGAAGGCAGAACAGCCCAGCACAAAAAGAGAGAAATAAATTGTTTACATTGCAACATGTATTCACTGAGGGCCAGGTTAGAGAAACAGAAATGGAGGAGAGGGCATTGCTGGCTCTGGGAGAAGTGAGCAGACAGCAGTCTTGTGGTTGTAGAAGTAACAGTGCCAATGGAGAGGATCTTCCCTCTCATGTTTTTTTTAAGATGTGAGCTATCCATGCTTAATATAAGTCACAATCTAGCAGTTAATGTCTCCACACTGTAGTTTTTCTATTTTTAAAAGCTGGTTTAAAAGTTTTCAGTTTCTCTCACTAGAGTAGGTAAAAACTGAGCTAAGGCATATTAGTCACAATATTATCAGGAGATGAAAGTGATAGAGATACAAAGTACTACCAGCTTTTAATTAAAATTGAATAAGTAAAAAAAAAACAGTTGGCAGTTGCAGAATTCATTATGATGTGTTACCAAAAATAGATACCTTTATGAGAGTGCAGTTTTATTACAACAGTGGGCACTAATCAGCTGTAAACATCTTGCTGAGATAGCCAGATAGAAAATGTGTTACTAATACTCATAACACGACTCAATTGCCTGGAACGGAAAACCAGAAATTGTTAAGATGCTTAAAATGTGATCTCTCAGACTACCAAAGTAGACGTATGCACTTCTGTTACTTAAGGCAATATCTGAATTTCAGGAACAATAACAGTGTTTTCTGTGTCTGGTTTTAATTTGCAATGAAAACTCACTTTTACCAAAATGTACCCTAACTTAGCTGAAATACGCATGACCCAGTGTTTTAATTTCTTCTTTCTATAGAATAGTCAGACTTGCAATTTAGATCCTACAAACTTCTTTACATTTTATTTGGTAAAAAATGCCTTTGCCCTTAATGAAAACATCTTCCAGTATGAGTTTACATGTACGGATCTACAGTTCAGAGCATCTTACTGACCAGTTTGGGATGTATGTGTGTGTCTTGTGTAATCTCTGCAAAATTTACTGTCACTGTAAAAATTACTCTCATCTCTCCTCCTGTAATGTAGAACATCAAGCAATAACAACAAATCTGTGGGAGGTTTATCTGATTTATGCTAATTTGCTATTGACATGCTTGAGGTATCACTTGCATCATCCCAGTCTTTCATATTTATTATTAAAAATATTAGCTGCTTATGAAAAGGAAATATTTTAAATAATGATTCATTTGTGCTGTGATCACCTCTTGAAACCAGGGCCCCACTCTGGTAGACTGTATACAAAATCACTGCAAATTAAGTGCAACCTGAAGTGTTTCAGATAAGCTTGCAGCAAGAGGACAATTTGAATCCAGGAAGATTAATATACCCCACCTACAAGGAGCAGGTCTCAACTCATGGAACTTAACCATTAAACATGAGGCTTCTAAATCACCTCCAAAGCCAGTATGGGAAAGAAGTTACTACAGCCTGTGATTTAGTTCACATAATTTAAAGATCTGAAGCCTTCATGGGAGGCTCAAGCAGCAGTACCTAAGCTTGAGCTTATATTTTCAAACTTGGAGGCTTCACCGTATTCTCCTAAATTCTTGTGTTGGTACCTAAGTGAGCATTCACAGAAGTGATGAGGGAAGTGATGACTCCTTAGCAGTCAGAAGGGGCTGCACAAGGTGAATACTCTTCCCGAGAAAGCTACTTAAATGCCTAACTTGTAGGGCTGAGCTTCAGAAGTAAAGTCACAGGCACAGGCCCCACACTTTAAAACATCACCCACCTTCCTTGGGATCTAAATACTGATAAAAAAATTAATTATCCTTTGTAAGGAATCCCCTGTCCTAAATTTTGCTAGTGCTGATGCTTTTTAACGTCAGTTGACAGGGTGCCCTGATACACTGGAACTACATGCCAAGTTCATGGGCTGAAACAAAGTACAACATAGAAAAATGTGAGTTTCCAGATGTTTTTCATGGGAAAGATTAGAGCTGCAGTATGTCAAATTTTGCAGATATGTGGACCTACCAATATTTGCAATATTGCTTAGCCTTGCTTTCTTAGTGGGATTTCACCCATTGCTTTTCATTCCAGAACCTACCTTAAAAAAAAACCGAAACACTTTTTCCATCCAAAACCTGTATTTACTTCAAATATTACGTCCTTACGGTAGAATAAACCTTATATATGAGCAATCTAAGGTTAACATGTGACAGAGGGGTTTTTTTTCTTACAACTGGTGACTGCTGCAATTCTATTTCTGGTGTCCATACCATTGCAGTTTGGGTACTTACTGTTAAAATGTGCCCACTTTTTCCTTCTGATCTGCAAGTGCTTGTCTTTGTTAGGGGGTCAGAAGGTATGTTAATATTCTTGGAGATTAAAGCCTTGAAATTATTATTGACAATAGACATTTGAGGTCCTTTTCCCCCAGAATCCACACCCCGTTATTGAATGAGGCTTTAGTAACATACACTGAAATATCCATGATGCTTGCCTGAATATTCCCTTGGTATTTACAGGAGTAGAATTATAGAATGGTTCAGATTGGAAGGGACCTTAAAGATCATCTAGTTCCAACCCCAGTACCTGGGGTCAGAGTACCTGGGTCAGAAACATTCCTGAATGCTTTAAATATTGGAAAGGAAAGAAGGGCAAGCTCTGTTAAGAAGGAAGGAAAAATATGGAAGTAAACATGGCATACCGAGAGGTGCCGTGGTGGAGCGATGGCTGCAAGACCAGTGCCCAGAGTACCTCAACCAGAGCTGTGCTGCCTCACAGGGCAATGTGCTCAGTCCAGAAGTGGGTATGAGAGATTTTGGTTGCTCCACAAGTGGTGTCTGCTGTTATCATCCGGAAGGTGATGGTATTAGACAGACACGCAGGACTGACCATAAGTTAGGAAACACTGGTCCTTAATAGATGTGGAAGGCTGAATGCCAGGGATGCAAAGATCAGCTGATAGTGTGCAAAAGCAGCACAAGGAACCCAGGCTGAGATGCTGCAGAAGGCAAATCATGAAGTAACTCTAAACCCTCTGTGTTCACTTGTGTTTCTCAGTCCTCCCTTGGCAGTCAAAGCCAACACAGGCACTGAAGGATGTCATCCTCTCTGAACGCTGTGTGGCTACATTACAATCTAGCTTGTGCAGCCAGAGAGAAAAATGTTCTCTTACCTTGGGACACCTTAAGGACTGCACCCCAGGGCACTGCTGCAAAAACCTTGCAGAACTGCCCCAAAGGAATGGAAAGCCATGGCAGGTGTTACGTTTGCTGTTATTACCAGATAAGATTTGAAGACAAACAAATGCATTCAATTAAAAGCCCAGATTTAAATTAACAGAGCAAAGTTAGAAGAATATAAACCAAAGTGTACACATTTCATTAAGGTTATACTTAGCTATATCTGTATCTATCTATCTATCTATCCATGTAGATATATATCTCCTCCTTAGCTGCTCTTGTGTCTCAGCTTTTGACTCCGACTGATTAGTTTCTGCATGGAATGCTGGACTGGTGTGCCCCTGGGTACATAGAGTTGCTTACACCTTGCTTTTTTCTTCTGGTAAAGGTGGGGACCTGCATCTCCTCTAGCTCAAGGTGTATTTATTCTTCTTTGTCTGCCCTTCATTCCCTGGCACTGGGCCATCGGGTGTTTTCTGGGAGATATCAGTATTTCATTCTGCCCCTCCCCCTTAAGGTTGCTTCAATAACATTTCTCTTGTCCATAACACTTTTTGGCTTTTGTTTTTCACTAATTACACTAATTTCAGTAATTATTAAAATACAGAAGCATCACTTACAAAATGATGTGTTATGATAAATAGTACAAATTCCTTTTAAAGTGTAAACAATATAAACAGGCAATGTAGCTTATATGTAAAGTATATGACACTCAAACACAAACTGATATTGAGGGTAGATCTGCCAGATCTCCTCCACTTCATCCTTTCTTAGATTCTGGGGACTCACCTGCGTGTTTCTGGGTTTTGGTGAACTTGAACAGTGAATACCAAAGGGTTTGCACATCTTCAGGCCAGCTTGCTCTCCTTCCCAGCCCTCCTTTCTAGCATTGGCTGTAAATAACCACATGCACACACACAAAAGTGGTTACCATCTAAAAATCCACATTTTTAAAAATACATTATAATGCAGCATATTTTGCAGTGTGTTGGTGCAGAAATATGTTGTGGCATCTTAGATATCACTGGGAGGTGGAGCTTGGCAAATGTTGGATTTTATTTGCTTATTTAAAGTATTGGCTATCTTAATTAAATACTAAATAATTTTTTTCTTGTTTCCCATTTTAGTTCGTCCTATATCAGATGATGATAGTGAGACCATCGAACAAATCGATGAAGATATAGCTGTGACTCGGAGTCAGATGAACTTTATTTGTCCCATTACACAGGTAATGCTATCACTGCTGCAATAATCGACTGGGAAATAGTTATTTCATACTCTACATTGGTTGGTTTATTAAAAATCTGCAGTACCTGTTAAAAACCAGGCAGTATAAATTAGAAGTGTTATCAGAGAAGAACAGCATTGCTTGGGAAAAAAACCCAGTAAGTAGGAACGCAGTTTACCAAGCAAGGCCTGATCCCATAATTTGACTGGAATGCCATGTATGAATGGCAAACACACTTCCTGCTGTTTTACATAAAATCTCATAAGAAGCATTTTCATGGGCATTATCAGTTCCTTTAAATCAAACCTTATTGATTACAGATGGAAATGAGGAGGCCGGTGCGAAACAAGGTCTGTGGACATTCCTACGAAGAAGAGGCCATTGTAGAAATTATCCAGTCTCGAAAGCAGAAAAAGAAAAAAGTCCGGTAAGCTAAAAAGAATGTGTGGAAAAGCTATTTGCTTTGCTGTGTAAGTGGAATTTTACTCTACTTGTTCTAGGAAATGTATTTGGATTGGCAAGGCTGCAGGAAGTAATACCTCAGCATCTGCCCAAGTCACAGCCTTCTCATTAGTACTGTACACGTGAAAGAGCTTTTCTTTTTAATGAAAACAATGTGTAAGAAAACATTCAGGAATTGTGTGGGGAAGTTACAGCTACTTGTGGTACCTGCACAACAGAAGTAAAGAGAAGCTTCCTAAAATTTAGTTGCTGATTTTGTTCCCACTGCTTGTGTAGCAAGTCCTGAAAATAATGAAAACAAACAAAACAAAAATCTCCTCTGTGCACCCTCTTTTGCAGTTATATTCCAATACAACTGAAAAATATTAAAACACCTGAGAAATATTAAACCACAACATTTCAGATAGTACAGAATTTAGAATGATCAGACAGTGCAGTACAGATTGTGCAGTTCCTGTTATGATGCAGTTAAAGAATTCTTTCTTTATATCATCAAAGCAGCCTCTCACTTTCCACACGGGACATATTTTTTTGAGTGAAAAGACATAACAGTTGAATTTTTAAACCTCAAATTCTCCCCAGTAGGTTTAAAAACCAGGATGATTTTGATTTAGGGGGAAAAGAATAAAAATAAAAAAAAAAATAAAAGGGTCTCAAGCACTTTTTAGAGCACGTTGAGAGGACTTATCATTTCCTCATTGATTTCACATTTGTTTTTACATCCTTTATGCTAGAGCTTCATGCTTTGGGACTGATGACCTCATGGAAACTCACCAGTTGTGGACTTTTAAATAAATGTGGAGTTTTCAGATGCTCAGGGTAAAGTCTCACAGGGACTAACAACCTGATTTCCCCACAGATAATGCCACAGGCAGTTTATTTCCTCCATCCATTGTTACTCTGGCATTAATTTCTGTGAGACTCTATATAGTCCTCCAAGGGGGTTACAAAGGTGGAGCAGGATTTTTTATTCCAAACTCCTTCCCTGCTACAGGAAAGCACTGCTATAAAATCAAGCATCCGTTGGGATGTCCAACCACTACCTTAGTGTCAAGGCAGCTTGAAGTACCTCTTCCTATGTTACGAGGTCTAGGGGAAAAAAGTGGAATGGGTGCAGTATCCTGGGAATAACAACAACACCAGCAACATGGATGGACAGAAACTTGGATGGAAAAATGAGCAGGAGTTGGGAAACGGCTCACAAGTTGAAGAGAAGAAAGTGAGTGTTCTGGAGGATAGGGAGAAGCTAAGAAGCATGTGCTCAACAGCCCAAAACCATGACAAAAATACCTTCTGTGTTCATATCTAACTACTTCCCTGTGTTGTTAAATCCATCAGGAGAATGTCATGGTAGGAGAGATTGTTGTAGTGGATCAAAAGTTTTAGCACTGCTGAGAAACAAATAGGGTTTCACGACTGAATTTTATTTTACCTTTTAAGAAGTTAAACACTAGAGAAATTCTAGAGTTTAAAAAATCATGTAAGCTGTACAACACCTAGCTTTAAAAGCTACCTTATACCTAAACTAAAGTTTGTGCAGTCTGAACACTGGCTTTTAGCCTTACCACTTTTACAGCAGCTATTCCAGTGTGCTAGAAAAGCACACGCAAAGCAATGCCACAGCTTCATTGTAACTAAATCAAGAAGGACTACTTGGTTTTCTACACCCAGTCTCACTGACCTGCTGTAATTTTAAACTTTCTCATGAAAATGCAGTCACTTTTGAAAAACCATCATCTGCTGTGGTGGGAAGGCAGGCCAGCTGATGCAACAAGTTCCCCCTTTGAGTACCCCCTTCTCGTGGTGGTGCTACTTGGCTGTGCTCCTGCCAGCAACACTCGTGTGGGCGCAGGTGTCCTGATGGAGCAGAGCACGGTTACGGGGACCTGACTCTGAAATCAAAGCTGTTGCTCACTCTGGAGGCACAGAGTTTCCTCACACGTACTTTCCAGTTTGAATCCACAGGATCCTTCAGTGCCCTTGGCAGTGCAGTAGCTGCATGTCAGCCCTGCAGCTGACGTACACACAGCCACTGGTGCTGTGCTGATAGACTTGTCATACACTCCTTTAGGCAACTCTTACGTCTCTCAGTTTGCTTAGTATTTTCCACTGCCTGGAAGGACATGCTTACACTTTATGCTTACAGGAAATGTGGGAAGCTTTCTGAGCACTTGTTATTCATTAATCTGGCAAGCTATTGCTGTATTAAGGTGATAAATGGGAAAACTGAGGCACAGAGCAACTAAATGACTGGTCTATGACAAACACAGTAAGCTGTGGATAAATCTGGAGTAAAAGTTATGAGTACTGAATGTAAATAAGTTAGCACCTCAAATAAAAGTTACTCTTAAGAGAGAAAAAATTAAGGAAAAGTGTTACTTCTGACTACAGGTTCCATCTGTGCATATTTGGGCCACTGCCAAAGGAAAATGACCTTTGGTTGCTAAATATCTTTTACCCTTCTGTCTTTATCTGGCTGTTTCTAGTAGTTGTAAGACATTTTGTATTTGATTATCATCTAGAGGCTGTGAATTTGACCCCATTTGTCCTTTCTGAGCTTTCACAGTTCCTAAAAATCAGGTTGATCTTTATACCAATTAGATAGGCCACTGATTCACCAGTCAGTCTCTGCAAGTCTCATTCTCTCTGTTTTCCTAGAACATAATTCCTCTTTTTATCTGTTAGTGAAGATTATACTTCTCCACTGCAGATTAGTGAGGTAAGAGGTAGTTACCTGGAGCTTGTAGAGGACTGCAGAGAGAGAAAGCAACACAGAAAGGTGTCCGTACAATGCTGATGTCATTGCTGAAACAAGCTGTGTACGTGAAGCAAGAGAGTGATCTACAGGTGAGAGACTCCATCTCTCACTGTGCTCCTTCCTTCCTTCTTTCCTTCTTTCCTTCCTTCCTGCCTTCCTCCCTTCCTGCCCTCTGCTGATGATAGATAGTTTAGATAGATTTATTTTTTCCCACAGAGAGCTGGTGAAGAGGAAAAGAGGTAAGGAGGAAATGATGGAGAAAGAGAATCCCAGATAAACACAAAAACTAGCAGATGTCCTGCAGAAGCCTGCATCTGACAGATACAATTCTTCCGATTTAATGGAGTCTCTCTTTTTTTTTTTTTAACAGATGCCCTAAAATGGGCTGTAGCTATGATGATGTAAAACGATCAGACCTTGTGCCAGATGAAGCACTTAAAAGAGTGATTGACAGTCAGAATAAATAAAGCTGGTCAACACTGGACAAGTGAGCTGGATACGCTACTGCCACAAAGAAAATTTGTTATTAGAGGTCTTGTGAGATAAGCTGCTGATTGTATGTTGGTTGTGAGACTAATTGATATTTTTTTAAGTGTTAAGTGTTTAATTTATAGGCATATCATTGTTAAGTGTTTCATTTGTAGGAGAAGTTGAAGGCCTCAACTGTAACTGAAAGCATTTTTTGAACTATTGAACGTAACTAATTCCATTTTGAACTTGTTTGAGGTATTTTGACCATCCTGAATTTCTAAAAACTTGCATTTTCTAAATAAAACATGCTTTGCATCATTTAACCTTCCTTGTCAGTGTGCTAGTTTTTTCTGCATGTTAGAGATGAAGATTCTGCTAGCATGTAATAGTGTTTTGCTCTGTTGCAGATAGTTCTGTTACTGTCTCTCTGTAACTGGGAATACTTTGAGTAGGGCACTCTGACCAAGGATTACTCTGCTTGGGAGCACACCTGTGTTTTAATAGAAACCTCAGGAAACCTTTATAGAGCTGAATTTTCAGAAAGTGTTGCACATCTATACCTTGTGTGTGGACACAGAAAACTGCCACTCAGCTTTGAGGATCTTGGTCTTGTTCTTATAATTTCTGAACTCTCTGCCCTAACTTAGGCTTTTCTTCTGAGATTCAGTAGCATTTATTTCAGGCTTTTTCTATTTCGAAATCCCAGAAGGCTTTACCTTAGTACTGCATTCTAGAAGACTACAATTATTTATAAAGGTATTCCAATAACAAAATTGTAGATAATACAAATATATTGTAACCGTATGCCTTGGATTGAAAACCAGTTCATCTAATTTTATAGACGCTTCTGATATCTCAGCTTTTGGGCACAGATCCAGAAAACAACTTAAACTTGGTGACACTCTGTTTATTACCTAAATTGATCTGAACATATCTAGCAGATAAGGCTAACTCATACATATATGAGTTAGAAATAGCTGTAGGTAAAAGGAGCTGCCTTGGCACTCAGATGTCAATTATCTCTTGGCATATGTGAAGCAGAAAATATAGGTTTCTTTGAATTTTGGGATCCTTAGTGGGCTAGATGGTATTTTCCTATGTCATTTTTCTGAATTTACAGTCTGACATTTAGTTTAAAATGTAGCTGAGGCACCTATATGCTAAGCTATTCATTCTGGGTTACTGTTTGCTAACTGCTCTCCTTTCATAGACCATTATTAACCCTAGTTGCACTTAAGAGTACAAACCACTTCAAACTGAAAATTGTTACTTTGTAATTGAAGAATATTAATCTGCAAGCTGATTTCATAGCTGAAAAAGAGAACTGAACCATTATTATTTGCACTGAGCTTTTGTGTTCAAAACACTTAACATGGGAATTGGCTGGGTGATTTTCATGATGTGGTGTAACCCCAAAGGTCCATCTTTTCAGAGCTTGGCAGCGAGCCTGGGTGCTTCTGCCTGTGGAAGGCCATTGGAATTAGCTGAAAGAGACCAGGGGGGTGACTGAGCAGTAGGTACTTGTTTGTATTTTTATGTGTAAAATCACGTCCCTTTTAAGACACCTAAGGTCTCAAAGCTGTAGTTTTTAAGATGGGTCACTGATTTTGAGTTAAATACCACAATGGAGGATGTTAACTATAGCATTTGTCAAAAAAACCCAAACCAAACCAAACCAAAAACCAAGCAGGTAGGGGGAAATGTCCTTTTTGTTTCATCCTTAAGTTGGTGGTTAAATTTATTCTTGCACTGTTTATAAGCAGAACACTCAGAAACAGAAACCTGCCTTGGTTAAACGAGCTCTGCAGTTTCTGACAGAGGTGCACAAACATTGTCCTTCATGGATTCGTTTCAATCCCTGGTGATAACCAGTCTCCCAAGTTTTCAGATGCAAAGATGTGCAAACATTTTACATGGCCCCAAGTGTCACACCTCACATTTAGCTTGTGTAGGTGTCTGGGTGCTTGAGTGTGCCCTCCAATAACACATAACATTATAAATGGTACATTATACCTGGATTAATTCAGACTGACAAACTGGTGGCACAGCAGGTTTGGTTTGCTGCATGTGGTGTTTGTACCAGTATAGCCTTAGATAGCTGCAGTTCCTGATATGGTTCATTGCCCTCATGTTCCAGTGAGTAATGCTATCAGGGAGATTGCTGTCTTGGTTACACCTTGTTGTCCTATGTGAAAGAGAGAGGCTTGACCCATCACAGTGCTGCACTCAGCCTGTGTTAGCTAATCCACAGGTAATAACACGAACTGCCTGCTTAAGATGATGCAGCTGGGAGAAAAAAAAAAAAAACAAATCTGAAGCAACACTTCAGATGAGGAGAACAAATAGTCAAGCAGTCACTTATTGCCACTCTAAGAGGAAAGGTATTTTTGAGTGTTCATATTCTTGCCTCAAAATACATCATCTTTCTTCCCTCCTTTGCTAGTCTGAGCCAGGCAGCACCAGTGAGTCAGGGAGCCTGAACAGCAAATGCAGGTGCAGCCTAAGTTTTTTCTCAGTTTCAGCTGAAAGAAATGGACTGATTTTTGGCAGCACTCACCTGCTTAGCTTTAATAACAATCACATGTGAGGTGAAGAGGCAAGTGTATTAAAATGGAGGTAGGTTTCTTTCTTTTATCAGCAGAGAGACCTCTTTTCAAACATCCAGAAAAAGACAAATAGTCATGCAGTTATGTTAAGGTTGCTGATGAGAGTACTTGAGTCCCATCAGAATCAGAGCTGCACCTTATAGATTCAAATGCTAAATAAAACTGCCTATATTTACTGAAATCAATGAAGTTCTCACCAGAATGTTTGGCATTTCTGAATTCAAACTATAACATAACATCTGAGGAATCCTAGTATGATGAGTGATTTTTTTTCTCTCAACTTAGAATTTGATCCATCCTGTTGATTTTTCATGGCTGGTTCTCTCTTGGTGGTTCTTACAAGTAATTTTGCTCCTTATATGGAAAGATTTCAGGGATAGCCATCAGCATCCATTGCAGCTGGCACATTACTAGGTGGAAGGACAGACTAATCTTGGCAATTGGGGAAGGCTTCTGTGCCTGTCAGCTCACCAAGTGGAAGTTACAAACCGCTACTGATTCACTGGGGTAGCTGCAGTTACTGACAGCTCTTTGCTCTTTCATCTGCAAAGTTTGGGGTTTGTTATGCAGTTGTGACCTCTCTCTTCTTATGTGTCCCATGTCCCCCATAAACTCTGCTCAGGTTAGAAGTAGCTTGAAAGAGTTAAAGAATAAAAATAAGTGGCTGTGATGAATAAGTTGTATGATCTGTATGATTCACAGAAGTGGAAACTCAACAGCAGTTAAACCTTCAAATCTTAATCTGCTTTGGCTATATCATATGTAAACAGGCATATGTTCACAGGGTAATTTGTGTCTCATTGTCTGACGTCAGAAATTTTGCAATGATATTTAAAAAAAGAAATTCAGAGGTCAGGTGTTTTTTTTTTTTCTTTTTCTGTAAGGTGTGCTTTACAAATGAGCAAACCTAAGTGTAGCTGAGAAGAGTCTGTCACTAAAAACTGGTGAGAATCTGTTGCTGCCAGAGAAGTTCCACATTGTATTTTGAGTGATTAAAGAAACATCTAAGCAAATATTGAAATAAAGAAAAGTCAAGAGAGATCCACACAAACAGCTTTCAGTAGTACCCCGAGGCAGGAGCCATTAACACAGCTCGCTCTCTCACTTGAACAGATTCTTCCCATGAATTCTCCATTTTACAACGAGAGACTCTGAAGCTTTCAAATCAGTGGAGCCATGATGTATAAAGATAAAAACTAATCAGGCAGGCATCTCATGGAAGATTTAGCACACTTATGCTAAAAGGAGTGCACATTCCTCTGAATCAAGGACATATTCATCATCTCCAGAGCTGTGATCTTATTCTTTTTAGAAGAATCAAAAAGACTAGGCTAAGTCAGTGCTCCCTTGAGAAATACCCAGAGCAAAAGCAGGGGCTGCAGGAAGTGATACCAATGACTCACTAGCCAAGGCCAACACACTGCCTTATTTTAGACAATGTCCTCTTGGACATATTCATATTTCCTCATGAGTGGCTGATGACAAAGGTGTTACCTGCCTGTGGTCACAAGTACCTCGTGACTTTTTCTCAAGAATACCTCTAGTATTGTGGCCAAAACTAGCTTAAAATTCACTGGGCCTCCTAAGTTCCACTGCCATTTCAAGTGAATCTTAATCTCCACCTTCCCTAAAAATCTTCATGTTTGGATTCTGAGGTACTGTGTGGTCCATTAACTGAACACTTGCATAATGGATAGTGGTCTGTTATGCACTGAAGAAGATGCACCTAGAAAAGGGCTTCCTAGAGCGGCAAATGTTAGAATATCCCAAGGACAGGTCTTCTTTTCTGTAGCTGCAGCCAAAGCCTTAAGCTGATGGCTCCTCACTACAGGTACAGACTAGTACTCACTGCAAATTCCAAGTACTCCATAAATAATAATTTATTTTCTGGCCATAAAGTACTTACTGTTAATACATAATGTTTCAAACATACGACGTGGTCACAGAATGCTCAGAGGAGAATCCTAAGTGTAGGTGCCAGCGGATTCTAGGCTGCCAGCCAGTAACTACAAAGAGCAAAAACATTAGATTGATTGTCAAGCCAGTAAAATTCTGGGATGCGTGTACATCATGCAGTAGATGCCCATGTATGTTCTTAGCCTCTTGGTGCATGGATAATCTCGGTGACTAGTTAGGACTGCAGCAACGTACAGAGGACACAGTGTGTTTCATCATTTCAAAGCACTGCAGAAAAGGCTGTGGTGGGCTGAGAAGAGAGCCTGCCTCACTTGTTCTGATGTTAGTCCAGACCCAAAGACGGAGTCTAAAAGCACACACATGAATTGAATTGCATGGGAAGCTTACCAAAGGAAGTGTTTGCTTGTAAACTCAGTATGAATAGGATCTTCTCTGACCGCAAGGGAAACGGAGACACTCATTCACTGTCCGCTTGTGCAATCAACTTCTGAAGTAAAAAACAGGATTTGAGGTTTAAAACTTGAACCTTCACACGTCTTTCAAGCAACAGAAGAAGCGTTCATGCTTTTTAGTTCGCAAAGTAACAAAGTCAGGAGGTGCTGCTCATAAGACTCCTTGGATTTGATAACAACTGGCTTATCAAAAGGGAATCATTCAGAGTTCGGAGCAAGAGCAGCCCTCAGAGCAGCTTTTGTGTAGGCTTGAGGGGAGACATCTGAACACCATTACATTGCACTCCTTTTGATGTCACTACGTGCTCATCATGTGTTTTATATCTTAGCAGTGAATCTGCTGCCAAGTTCCACAGTGTCTCAGGATGGTTGTAGGTTTATCACAGATGCGTTTCCTGCCTATAAAAAACATTGCTTTTAAATTCTTTATCACCTGGCCACAAAACTATGCTTTGAGCCCCATCTGTGCAGGGTAATTCTGTACACCAGTAGATTATGGATGACCTGCTGGTTATAAATTGCCAGCTTTCAGTCTAGCAGTAGTTTAAGTTTCATTACATGGCATGAGATAACTTGTAAAATAAATATATTTATTTTACATAATGCCTGATAGTTTAATATTAGCCAAAATATTTGTGTGTCTCGTCTCTCTCATCCAGTAACTAAAATAAAGCCTTTTTCATTTCTTCCTGTAGCAAGCATCCAGTTTATTTATAAGTGTCCTAATCTAACAGAGATTTACTCTGTGTGTCCCATGAGACATATTATCAAAGTTACCAGACCTGTCCCAAGCACTTGGGAAGTGGGGAGATGGTTACACAATTCTCATTGCCTCTGGCTGCTCTAGTTATAGAGATAAAGGGTCAGAGAAGTGGAGCAGCGGAGATAATTTTGTGAGCATCTAAGGAAAAGCAGCTGCTCAGGTGATCGTAGGCACTGGCTGAGGGCAAGACCGTAGATACTTGAATACTGTGCAACAAAAATCCCCTTGAATAAAATAACATGACAGGAAAGGGAACTGCTTGTCTGATTTAAAAAAAGAAAAAAAATGTGTGAAGAGCAACGTTCACCTTGCCACAGCTCTGGCAAATCTGTGCTGGGCAAGACCCTTCTGTCTCCTGGGATGTGCCGGTTCAGTGATACACATCCCACAGGATCTTTTTCTGCTCCAGTCCCAGATCCTTGCCTAGCAGCTGGGACACCGGGAAGAGAGGAGACAGCGAGCAGTGCTGTTTGCTTTGACCAGCCTTTTCCAAGGCAGGATCTACTTTTTGTAACAATTTTTACAATGTCCTTTGACTGAGAGCTCCTCAGAGTTCCATAGCATTGGGAGGGTGCCTGTGGCACACTGTTATCCTTTGCCAAGCATGAAGACTACTGATCTCCCAAAGGCCACCCCTGTCCTTGTCGGAGCATCCATGGCTGGGTGATGGTTCCTCGTATTCCGCTGGCTCACAGCAATCCATTTTTTCTGGCACTTGGATAGCAGGGCTCACCCACAGAGTCAATGTTTTATCCCAGCATTATGTCTGTAAGTATAATTCTGCACTGATCTGTGCTCCACAAAGATTTACATTGTTGTCCATTGGAGATGCCTAATTCTGCCCTGGTTCATTTAGAAGGGCTGTAAAACCATTCAGGTTCAAATTCACCACAGGCAAAGCTGGGAATTGCTGTGGAAACATTCACACACTAAGCAAGTAGTCCCTGAAAAGTCTTTTTTGGGGAAGGGGGAGATGAAATGATGAAGGCTTGTGCAGGGAATAGAAGGAAGATCCGCAATAGCATTTGATTTCAGGAAGAGACTAATGCAGGAGATGGGCCTGGATGCTTAAAAGCCTGTGGTGTGACCTACAGCAAACAGGAGGCTGCGATGAGCAAGTGTGGTAGCCCCACATACTGCAAAAAAATCATCTAATACTGAAATGTTGCAACACTCTTCTTCACAAACCTCTCCCTGGAGTTCCTCCTGTTCTCAGTACTGGTTCCTAATCAAACCAGGCTTGCATGCAAGTGCTGGAGGAGATGGGCAAGGAGGACAAGTTTCAGCCCTTTGAGAAGCAGCATGCTAGGAAGGTCATCAGACACCATCCTTGGCATCCCTTTTATTCTGCATTTTGGGGATCAGCCAAAATTATAAAAACACAGAAAAGCCAAAATGGGAATCACTTCTCTTGTCTGCATCCTGGAATCAGTTTTGTAAAGATGGAATGGAGTCTGGATATAGACCTTTTCTTATGTTCCATATCCAAAATATAAGACTGAGAATAAGGCAATGAGCATTATTAACTTGGTTAATAATTGCTACTATATGTTTATTCATGGCATTAATGCTTTGAGTACCTGACAGCATGCCAGGCATTTTAAAGAAGCACTAAACCTTTCCTGCAGTCAAGAACTACCCCATTTTGCAGAGACCTGACACCTGAGAGATTTAAGCTTTGGTTCATCTCAGCCCTGTATAGATAATTAAAGTTTAGTCTATACAGGCAGCTGAGAGAGGGCACTCACCAGCACTTCTGGGATGGATTTCCCAGGTGTTATCTTTTCCTGGCCTTTGGGGACTGCATGCCCAGCTTGTGTGCTCCAGTTAGCAGGGACACCCACACACAGAGCGTGAAATCTGTGGCGTCTCTGTGAGAAGAGGTTGCCCAAGCACCAGGAGAATAAGGCAGGACTGTGGGGTCAATGCACTGTGTACCTCTCTGCTCTCCTGTTACACAACAGATGTTTTATGGGGGGGGCAGGAGAGGGGCTTTTTCCCAAATGCCATCCCCCTGACAGCCATCAAGCTGTCAGTAGCTTGAACCAAGCACTGTGCCCTGGTGCCACTGTGCCCTGATGGCATAGGGACAACATGAGGTCACCTGCTGTGGACCTAAGAGTCTTTAAATGGGTGGGAGTCTGGAAAGAGGGAGGATGCAGCTTCCTACAATGGAATATATGGCCCTTCTCCTCAGCAGGGACAGTGGTCTGGCACAGGAGCTGAGAGAGAGGGATCTTCAGGAGGGTAATGACCAAAGACAGGTCCTTACCCCAGGTACATAACTTGGTTTTTACACTGGCCCCTTCACTCCTGCTCACACTGTCTGAGATAGCTACAGGGGATACCGTTATACACAAATAATGCCTCTGAGTAGGTTTATGCAAGTCCACTGCTATTTTGATGTGTTTACACCCTTGCCCTGTCCCCAAAAGCACTGACACCGCCCCTGCCCTCCCCCCAGCACACCTTGTGCTATCTCAGATGTAGGAACCAGCCCACACGTGCAGCATCCTACCAGCAAAGCTCACCCGGCAGTAGCATTCCAGTCATCAAATTTCCAGGAAGGGAAAAGTAAAACAAAAGGCTGATGGATACTTGTGTGTGTTTTACCTATAAGAGGAACCAAAAAAATCCAGCTTGCTTTGAGAATTGTGGTGAATCATTCAGAAACAATCTGCAGACATTAAGGGAATTGTATTTCTGGGAAGAAAAAAAAAAAAAAGAAAGAAAAGGAAATGCAGGCCCTGGGATATCCCTTTATGGCATATGCATTTTATGTTTAAATGCATTAATGGGACTGCTATGCCATGAGTCATCCCGCACAAGAGTTTCATGTGTTTCTTAAAATACACTAGAAGTAGCTGAAGGCATGCACGGATTTGCCGTGCAGTTATCTGTCAGGAATCTGAGCGAATACCTGCACGTGTGGCATCAGAGGCTTCAGAGCTGGGGGAGGAGTAGGGGGTGCTGTCCTGGGCCCTCCATGCTGCTTATACGGACCATGGCTGGAGAAACCAAAAGGGGACAGGAACTGAGCCTACTGAGTAACAAAACACAGGCTCCCTGTGTTAATATTAGGGAAGCCTCAGCACTGAATTACAGAAAATTTGCATATATGTAAACAGAAAACTGGAGAGTTTTCTTCTGGAGCACTCTTGTCAAAACTACAGCTGTCTGCATTTTTTTTTCCAGGGATGATTTGTTGTCTGGTTTTCTCTCTCTCTCTCTTTTTTTTTTTTTTTTTTTTTTTTTTTTTTTTTTTTTTTTTTTTTTTTTTTTTTTTTTTTTTTTTTTTTTTTTTTTTTTTTTTTTTTTTTTTTTTTTTTTTTTTTTTTTTTTTTTTTTTTTTTTTTTTTTTTTTTTTTTTTTTTTTTTTTTTTTTTTTTTTTTTTTGTATTCCGTCCTGGCTGCAAGTTTATTTAGTATTCCTTTAAACCCCCACTTTTGAGCCTTATGTAGCTTGATTCGGTCAGCTCCTCACAGGTCACTTCAGCTCCTAGCTGCTGCCTGCTCTCCAAGCTATTCCTTTTTCGGACAGCAGATAGTTTTAACACTGGAAACACCCAGAGATGAGTATTTCTGATGGTGCACGTTACGTCTACGCTTATGACCAAACGGTGGTTAGCACACAACAGCTTCGTGATGCAAACCTCGGGGCGAGGGATGGTTATTTAGTGATTAGTGAAAAGCAAGAACTGGGGCTGGGAAACTCAGATGTATGGAGGAAAGCTCCTGGAAAGGCAGGTGGACTCGCTTTCTCGCCGCAATTATTCACGGTCGAAGGGGGTCGCCGCCGCGCCCCCAACCTCCCTCGGGTCCCCGTCGGGTCTCCCGTCGCCCCGCCCGGCTGTGCCGGGGTCGGGGGCGCGGAGAGCGGCGGGCGGAGCGGAGCGGGCGTGTCCCAGCCTCCCTCCTCCCATTTCCCCGTGCGTCAGGGCCGGGAGGAGGAGGAGAATCACCTTTTTTTTTTTTTCAATTTTTTTTTTTTTTTTTTTTTAAAAGCCTCCAACTACTTTAGCGCGGAGTCGGCAGCAGATGGTGGGCACGGCCCGAGGTTACGGCGGGGAGAGCGAAGGGATGCGCGCAGCGCGCACCGCCCGGCTCTAGCTCCGCGCCCGCTCCGCTCCCCCGATGAGCCGCCCCGCGTCCCTCCTGCCGGCCGCCCGCTGCCGCAGCGCCCCGGCCAAGCGCCTGCAGCCCCTCCACGACGGCCCCGCCGAGGAAGCGCCGGCCGCCAAGTGCCCTCGCCTCGCCGACTGCGGACCCCCGGACTGCCTGAGCGCTCCCGGGTCGCCGTGTGCCCCCGCCTCTCCCGCCGGCGGCGGGGGGACGGCGGGTCCCAGCCTGATCGCCTCGTACCTGCTGCTGCCGCTGGCCGAGCGGGAGCAGGTGTCCCGGGCGCTGAGCGTCAGCTCGGGCCGGGAGCTGCGCTGCAAGGTGAGCGGGAGCGGCGCGGGTGGGCAGCGGGTACCTCCTGCCGTGTCCGAGCGCCCGGCCCGGGGACAGCCCTGCCAAACATCCTCCCGCTGCTCCCCGGCTGGAAACGCCCGGCCAGCCGCCGGTGGGGGTTTGCACTCGCTGGGAGTGAGCTGGAACTCCAGGTTACCTCGGAGCGCCTTCCTCCGAAAGGCTGTGGGGATGGTGGTTTGTTTTAGTTTTCCCCCCTGCCTTTCAATATAAAACGAACAGGAAGGGTCTCGGTAGCCGCTTTGAGCAGCGCTTCTGCCGATCCTGCCGAGCCCTGGCTCCCCTCCAGCTCCCTCGTCATTGTTTGGGGAGAGTTGCTACGCGAGCGGCAGCTTTCAACGCCCTTGAGAATGAATTTGGGTTTAATTTCCTCTATACAGGTGTTCCCCCTCAAACACTACCAGGACAAGATCCGACCTTACATTCAGCTGCCGTCACACAGAAACATCACCGGGGTCGTCGAAGTCATCCTCGGGGACACCAAGGCCTATGTATTCTTTGAAAAGGACTTTGGGGACATGCACTCCTATGTGAGGAGCTGCAAGAGGCTGAGGGAAGAGGAGGCTGCCCGGCTGTTCAAGCAGATCGTCTCTGCTGTAGCTCACTGCCACCAGTCAGCCATTGTACTTGGTGACCTCAAGCTCAGGAAATTTGTCTTCTCTAATGAAGAAAGGTAAGCAGCTGTCAGCAGCCAGCCCTGGGGTGAGTGGGGAGGGAGGAATGCCACATCCAGAGATGCAAAAAGCGTCCCAGGGAGTGGAAACGGCTCTGTCAGCCGGGCATCACCTGCGAGCAATCCGAGTAGGTCCCCATCACGTGTGTGTAGTAGGTCACGGATCTAACCAGCACGCACTCACTCTTAGTGAGATCTTGACTGATGAAAGGGAGGAAGCTCGCCGGGAGCTTCCTCTCATTCAGCAGAAGTTCAGTGTAACCCGCTGGCAGACAAAGGGATGATAGTTCGGATGCTCGTTAGCGCCAGAAGATGTCATGTGTGCCACTCATTCAGTGTCAAATGAATAAAAGGCAGAGAGGGAGAGGAGGGAGGCCGAGGCGTTGTGCAGGGAAGGGGAAGCAGCCCGGCTAGGGGAGCAGGGGGAGGTGTGAAGAACTGGAGCTCTGATCCCTCCTTGGGAGAGCTACTCTGTGACCGCAGTAGAGCTGCAGCACTCGTAAGGGGTCTCCTTGCTGAACCACCCTGCTGATCAGGATGACGCTGCTAAGGAAAGGCCAGCTGTGTCCTTTGAGGTTTTTATTCCTCCTCCACTGCTGCACTTTCCATGCCTCCTGTGCCTGCGGATGTGAGCACAGACGGGAGGGAAGGTGGGACGTGGTTAAGTACTGATTTGGGAATCCTGAATCAAAGAAAATCACTTAAGTAAAACTTAGCCTAAAGCCTAGGTTTATAGAGATCATAGTACCTAGTTGTTAAATTTAGATGAGGGAAAATAATTCAGTATTTCCCAGGAGTGTTTGCTGCTCTTGCAGTGCCTCACCACACATGGCAGAGTCAGAAATACATTTTTGACCAGTAAAACTGACTCTGACTAGTTACTTGTCCCATGGAATGCTAAAAACCTAAGTAAAAGATGTAATGGAGTTGTGCTTAATGTCACGAAAGTGTAGGTGATATTACTGAAGCAGAAGAAAAGGGCTTTTGCTTGTTCTTTAACTGGGCTAAAGCTTATTCAGGATACCCTTTAACAAAGGTGATAAGAAAATTAACCAGCACTGCCCCTCTGAAACAGAAACAGCCGTATGTTGACATGCAAAGAAAGCAATTCCTTTGAAGGAAACTATTGCAGCTTTTCCCTCCCATAAGAAGATGAAACATTTGTTGAAATATTACATTGCACACAGTCTCTCTCATTTGGAAATAACGTGTTGCACAGGCGAGTGTCATGTGCACCGCATTTGGCAAGAAGAGGGTTAAGCAATGGCAGGCGACGCGGGCTCTCGCACAGGTGCAGTTTCAGGGCTCCCGCAGCCAATCCCGGGCCCACGGTTCTCGTTGAGTCATATTTTCCGTTTGCAGAACCAATGGGTATTTGCCGAGGTCAGGCTGAGGACAGGCTGCAGCCAACGCATCTACACCCCAGCAGGGCTACCAGGCAGCGCAGAGCTCTTCCAGGGCCAGCCGATGGCTTCCCTGCCGGTGGGAGCTCCCCTCACCCTCCAAAACAGGAGGTTTGTGTGGACCCACGTCCACCTGGGAGACGGTGGGTGCAGTGGTACGCCCCGGAAAAGCAGACAGAATAAGTTACAGATTAAAATTAAAAACCAAATCAAAAGCTCGGGAGAGCCGATGATCCCCAGTGGTGCAGAAGGGAACTTGGCTTTGCTGTTTACAGCAGCTGGGCTCTGTTTGCTCAAAGCCTGCACCGCACATAGTGGCTGCACGGTGTCCTGTCACACATTAACCCCCTGCAGTGGCGCTGCAACCTGCGCAGGTAACGAAGTGACTTGCTGGTGTTCTTCGAAGAGCCCTCTGTGGTGTTAAAATCCCCAGCAAATAAAACAATCAGGCGTTGCTGAGCGCTGACCCGATGCACGCAGCTGCTCTTCCCCTACACGCGGCCAGGAGTCCAGGCAACTTCTCCACTGCAAATTAAAAAGTGTTTCCTCTCCTTTCTCAATGCTGGTGCGAGGACAATGGGGTCATGACAGGGGTTCGCTGTGCTTGCTCGTGACTGCATGTTGCTATTTCTCACCTGTGGTTTCCTCTCCTGCCCTGCCTAGGACTCAGCTGCGTCTGGAGAGCCTGGAAGACACGCACATCATCAAAGGCGAAGATGATGCGCTCTCAGACAAGCACGGCTGCCCGGCGTACGTCAGTCCTGAGATCCTAAACACGACAGGGACTTACTCCGGAAAATCGGCTGATGTGTGGAGTTTGGGAGTGATGCTCTATACCCTGCTGGTGGGACGCTACCCTTTCCATGACTCGGACCCTAGCACTCTGTTTTCCAAAATCCGGCGTGGACAGTTCTGTATTCCTGACCACGTCTCCCCCAAAGCCCGATGCCTCATCCGCAGTCTCCTGCGGCGGGAGCCCTCCGAAAGACTCACTGCTCCAGAGATCTTGCTTCACCCTTGGTTCGAGGCAGTCTTGGAGCCTGGATATACAGACCAGGAGACGGGAACTTCGGATCAGATTGTTCCAGAATACCATGGAGACAGTGATGATATTAGTTCCTTCTTCTGCTAACCCCAAAATCTCAAAAACCTTGTCAGTTCCCACCTCCGCCGTCTTCGTAGGGTTTCATTTTTCCACGTGTGCAAACTCAGCAGCATCTTAAAGTGCCAGTATGGTCAGAAAAGTGACCTTGTTTAAATGAACACCAACCTGGAGATCTCTGCTTCCTGAGCATACTCAAGGTTCCATCCTCTTGCCCTGCTGGTCGGTCTGTCCAGAGGACCTGTGCAGCTTTGTGAGAACTGTCTGGCTCCCCCGTCCTCCGTCGGTGTAAAACTGGTTGCATCTTGGCCGCAGAGTCTTACGGCTGGCAAGGAGTGGGATGGAAAGGCAGCCCCTTCTGCTCTCCTGTGATGGCTGCAGAGGTGTGGAGCCCTGGCCACGATGTGTAGGGGCTGGGGGCACGAGGTATGCCTCTACCTGAGCAAATCTGACAGAAATGGTGAGAAGGGGAATCACCTCGGCGTGCCACACCAGCCAGCTCACAAAGCAGCTCTCTGACTGTAAGAACACATTAATGAGGGAAGGAGGTCTTCACCCCCCACGGCCAGCTGTCTGCTCACTGCTGCTCCTCCAGCTGATCTTGCTTTCAGGGGCATGAAGCTCCTAGATCCACCTCTAAGACAAATCACTGCTGTGGGTGTTTCTGAAGCAGGAACCATTGGATCTCCCAGCCGGATCCCCTCGCTGACCAGGAAAGCATTTTAAATAGACTTAAGCCTCATGTTACCACGGTGTAGCCTATATAACTTTATGCCCTCAGCGAGCTTGTCAAGTAGCAGGTCTCGTTAGCTCCGAGTGCCAAAACATATCCGTTTACCAAACTGTAACACTATCAGCTGGGGCGCCTTCCCCTGGAAAAGGATAAGGGGTGTCTTGTACAGTACCTATAAACATGGCCATGTTTTCCAACCAGCTCAACTCTTAAAAACATCACATCACCTCTCCTCTTCCCTCCACCCCCCAAAAGTTAGTCTTAAATCTCCTTACACCCTTAGTTGATTATTCGGGTATACTGTTTGCCTCCAGCCCTTTTTTTTTTTTTCCCCTGCATGATTATTCATAGTCTTTCCAATGTGTGTGGGTAATGAATATATCTAAATCATTAGCTTCCTGGGTTGGGGGTAAGTAAAGCTTAGTCCTGCCTAAAATTTCTGCTTCCTTTCACATTTGTGTCCAATGCTTATGCAAAGAGATGTCCGTTCACCTAAGGCAAGAGTGCGACTTCTGAAATGGCCGTGAGGTGGGTCATGCATGTTTTCAACACCCCACAGTTAGAGTGAAGTCATTTTAAGGGTTAACCCTGGCTGCAGTCCCACCACCCCTTTCGAGAATACCATGTATACCTCATGGACTGTGTACTTTGTACATACCTTACTGTTTGGGGTTTTGTTTTCTTGTTTTGTTGTACTTTGTTTGTCCTAATAAGAGGTGTTGAAGAGCAATTTAATGTGAATTATTGTTGGCAATACTAACTTGACAGAATCATGAGCATTAAGAGCAGAGCGCTCCAGCTCTCCATTGCACTAAACCTCTCATGATTGCTTGACATTTGTATCTGTGATACAGTTTAACCCTTCTATGAAAAACAGTACATTTGTATATATTGGTGGAAAATTCTGCCAGAAAAGCTAAAAACACTATGTCCAATTTGTACATATGTATATGTCTGTGGAAACCTGGATGATAAAGTCTGACTTGTAGAAAGTTTTAATAAACTTGGTTTCATAATGTTTGTCCCCATTTCTGGTGATATCTCAAGGGGAACACAGCTTCAGTATGTTTGATTTAATCTGAAAAAACGGGGTTTGGCCTCAGAGAGGATCAGTTCCTCTATGGTCCTTGGATGTGTTCCATTGTGCCTTAGCCCTGACTCTCCCAGTTCAGCCTGGGGTTGAATTCCCAGGAAGCTGAGTGGGGACAGGAGATGTCTCCTGCCTCTCGTGGGCTAGAAAGGGCTTGGAATGTCCCCAGAGCTATATGAAATGGGAGTATCCTTGTCTGATAAACAAGGGGGAGAGAAATTACATCTCTGCCTCTGAACTTTAGAAACCCTCTTACCTTTCAGCCAATGCATTTGTTTCCCTCTGCACCCCACGAGCAGAAAGAAGACGCCACGGCACAGCAGGGCTGACATCCTGCACCTGTGTGCCTGGCAGTGTGATGCTCCAGCCAGTGGAAAATCGGATCTCAGATGTCTAAAAGTGAGCAGTGAGAAGCAGAGGCAGTGGCTGAGAGCACTGACATTACAGGGAGCTGGAGCCCGTGAGCAGGGGCTTGACCCCACTGCTGGGAGGTAGCACAGAGGCTACTCAATGCTCCTGTTAAAAGTGAAGGGAAAGATTATTAGAGCTGCTTTTCTTTGTGGTGAGAATAGAGGAGTATAAATAACTGCAGTATCAAGGTTAGAGAATGTGCTTTCCTGAAAGAGATCAAGCCACCCTTGCAATCCACCCGGAGCGGTGAGATCATCGCTCACAAGTGGAAAGGAGGAGGAAGAGAGTCTTGATTTTTATTTATACTTTGCCTCATGTTTAACTTTGTCCTTTTGCTTGAAATCTGTTCAGCAGAGCAACTGCTTCTAGGCAGCTCCTGGAGCAGGAGCAACTTTAAAAACAATTTTGCTTTTAGAAGGGGAGTGGAAGGCAAAAAGGAGGGAATAGGAACGTGGTCAATGATAAAGCAAAGTGCACTGACTTTCATTAGGCACCTTGACTCCCACTCTGAGAAGCCAGTGATCTGTGCAGTAAGCATATTTTCTTAGCACTTGCTGAGTGAATGTCAGACACCAAAATATCTCAAGTTACTTTACTGATGTTATTCTTGCAAGACTTGTAAAAATATATGCGCCGCATAGCCTGGCTGATTAAATTACCCCCTGCCCTACCATGCTTTTGGGCTTGGACAGAAGCCCTGATGCATCCTTTCAAAACAACTGCAGGAGGTTCATGTTTTAATGAAACCTTGAAAACTTTAAAAACACTTCCCCCCTCCCCCCCCTTACAGTGAAGTCACTTAGTAGGTGAACGTGTAGGTCATCCCGTGACTGTTTCACATGAGCTGTGCTGCAGAGCAATTAAAATAAACGCCAAATTGTAGTAACATCTGCAAGCAGCCTCTGTGTTGCTTTAGGGATTATAATGCAACATCCGTTTGTACAGCAGAATAAATTGCTATTGCTTCGTTACCCCATCGTTTGTATTATTGTATACAAAGTTTCAGAGCGTGTTGAAAGAACCAGCATATTAAGTGATTAAACTTTGATGGTGGGTGTGAGAACTTTGATTTATGCAATGCATACATTTCTTTTTGAGAGAGTCATAATTTGTCTATTTTTAAATGGTCCTTTTGGCTGTGGACTGCAAGAATCTCATGTATTTCACAGACCAGGTCACCATTTTCATCCTGAAGTTGCAAGATACTGTTGGCCTCTCTGAAGAGTGCTGGGTGCCTTCAGTCCTTCTCCATTGCTGCTGAAAACACAGAAAAAGCTGAGGTTTTCCACATCACAGGCTCCATCCTAAGCTGGCATCGAACCACCCTCCAGTCTGGATAGATCTTACATCCTAAAAATGTATTTTTATTAGCTCTTGATACTTCAGCTTCATTTTGGGCACCAGTTCAATAATTCTCTTTTGAAGTAGCACAGCAGAATTTATAAACCAGCTTCCTCTGAAAGTGCCAGGTAAAACAGCCAGCTCAGCAAGCTCAGGTTTAAGGTCAAGATCTCTGCCAAGCAGGTGATACTGCTGAGGTTATTTGCAGTTAAGAAGGACTGGTAAGAGGTTCAGTTCTACCTATGCTAAAAAGTGCCCTGATTTTAGGAGAACACCTTCAGGCCAGTCAAAGGCAATTCTGCATCAATGTATTATTTATGAAAGAAAGGAGGAAAAAGAACAGGTTTTTTACACAGATGTACAAGAGGAAGATTCGTTGCCCTTGGCTGGCTCACAAAGCCAGTGCAGTGCTCTCCTCTAGCTCTGCTTTAATGCACTGGGGGCAGGTCTGAGAGATAACCTGAGAAACACATTTTATTCCAGCAGTGCTGATGGCACTCTGCCAAGCAAATCTCTACAGATTATCCCTTTATACAAAAGCAGATTTCCCCTCCACTTTTTTCATGCTATTTGCATTCTGTCAGGGAAAAAAGCCCAATGTTCAGCATTATGGCACTGCACAGATTTAGCACCACAAAGAAATGTCCTATGCAAATGCTTCTTACAAAGACGTTTTCCTAGTGAGCATTGAGAAGAATAGCTTGACATATAGCCACGGTCTGAATTAATCCCTTGCAAAAGATGGCTTTGTTAAATGCAACAGCTCTCGGAACTATTGTTGATAAAAGTACCATGAAATTTGCAACAGTTCTTGCCATGATTCCTCCAAAACTTGCAAAATCCTTTTCTCCAAGTGAAATCCAGAGTTCAGATTTCAGATAGAATCAACTTTTCTTGCAGCAAAATGACAAATCCTTCAGGATATGAGTTCACAGCAGGACTTTTTTTTTTTGTTGTTGTTGTGAAGCGAGCTATTTAGAAAATGCCTTAAAGAAAACTCATTAGTTTTCATTGCCCTGCATGTATTTATTTACAGTATTTAACCAGCTAAACAAGCTAATGTGCAGCACTTCATTTCCTAATTTGGCTTTGAAGCTGGAGCAGCCGAAGTATCAATTACATTCTGTCAAATGCAAACATTAACATAACTGTATGAAGCAATCATGTTTCTAACAACAGCAAGCACTGCCCAGAGGACCAAAATAAATAAAATTCATAGAGCAAGAGGTAACGCTTTTCTTTAAGGCAGGATTAGGGCTGGCGAGTGCCCGGGTGGTTCCCTTCCCTGCTTCCCTCTCCGAGGCCGTTTCTCTCGCAGGGCTGAGAGGCAGCTCTGGCGCTGAGGTGCAGGTGATTAACAAGGCACTTGCTCACCAAGGGCACGGTCTCATCACGGCGGGTGTGGATTTGTGCATGCAACTCCCACTGTTATTAATGGTTAATTAATGTGTAATTTGCAGAAAGAGATGAAACTGGGACCTCGGCGGTGTGTTGTGAGCACACAGACGGGCTTATCGTTCGAAGAAATATCAGGGTGACACAAAGGGTGGATGACAGAAAATAAGTGTGGCATGAATCAGCTGCCTCGTGTTTATGATACGGCGCTGTTGTGGGAAAACATTCACCTCCATCAACTACCGTCTCCTGCCAGCAACAAAAGTCGAGTTTGATAAATTATTAGTGGAGATGTTCTCAGTGGCTTTGCTTAGATTTTACTCCTCTTGCGCAAATTGCAGATTAGGAAAGGATTAAGTAACAACAGTGTGGCTAAAGTATTACACATCGTGCTGGCAATTAGCCAAAGAATGTAGCATGCAAAAGCTGACATTGCCTAAGAAATCAAATTTAGCTTCGGTCACCACAGAAAATGACTCTTCCCCACCACCCAAGGTAGTTGCTCAGTTTCTCCTGTGTCACCCAGTCTTGCACCAGCAAATTGGTCATTACAGAACATTTTTTTTTCCTTTTCATGTAGTCTTTTTTCCTTTTCTTAACTTCCTGGTAGTGAAAAAGCCATAAACATTTAGGTGAATCAGAGAAACCATAAATGTAATTGAGTGTAAAGCCATTGTTGGGCCCTGTGATAACATCCTTGTCAAGTCTCAACTTGTCAGATTCGTAGTCTCGCAGAGGTTCAAATGCCGCGCATTTCCTTTGCCATGTTAGCAACGGGGGACAAAGTACCAACATAATTTAGGGCAAAAGCTGAGCAAGACTCACACCCAATGACAATGACTATGCAGATGGACAGTGGGATGACTGGTGTGAGCAAGTGTTTTCCCCAGGGAGTAAAGGCAGCAGAATTAGACTCAAAAAGGTCAACCAGCAGTCTCTGCTGCAAAGCAGGGTGGCAACGCCCCTCAAACATCAGGCAAAAGTATAAAACCCACCTGGTGTTTCTATGAAATTGTTGACTGAGAAGCATGGTGATGAACCCTGCTCCTCCCCACCCTCGTGCCCGTGCCCAAGCTGCCTGGATCTGGGGGAAGGCAGGGTCCTGTCAGGCCAACAGGTCCATCCAGCCCCAGGAGGAGCATGTGCAAATGCCTAATGCCTGCAGATGTGCATGGGAGTATGGCAGATGCCTGTCAGGCACACCCTGTGATGTTCCCCTGCAGCACAGGGACACAGAACCTAAAGGGGATCCATGGGAAATATGGAGAGGGACTCATTATTGGGGAATGTAGTGATAGGATGAGGGTTAACAGTTTTAAGCTGAAAGAGGTTTGATTTATATTAGATGTTAGAAAGAAATTCTTTACTGTGAGTGTAGTGAGACACTGGAACAGGCTGCCCAGACAAGCTGTGGATGCCCCACCTCTGGAAGTGTTCAAGGCCAGGTCTGATGGGGCTTTGAGCGACCTGGTCTAGTGGAAGGAGTCTCTGCCCATGGTGGGGGGTTGGAGCTAGGTGGTCTTTAACGCCCCTTCCAACCCAAATTATTCTGTGATTCTATAACACTGTGGCCCACTGATGCCCACCTTGGTGTTTAAGCATTGTCCAAGGACATTCCTATGATTGGAAGTCTTGCTTGGCTGCCTTTGACTCTAACTGTACCTTGAGGTCTCAAAATCCTGCAGCAATGAATTCCGGAGCAGAGCTTGGCACTGCTGCATTAAATTGCCTTGCTTGGAAGGGTAATATGCTCCAAACAACAGCAGTATGACTGGAAAGACTGAATGACAG